AGTTGGGGTGCTGGATTCTGTCCCAGTTGCCCCTCTTCCAGTCCAGCTCTCTGCTGTGGCTAGGGAGTGCAGTGGAGGATGGCCCAAGTGCTTGGGCCCTGCTCCCGCATGGGAGACCAGGAGAAGCACCTGACTCCTGGATTCGGATCAGTGCCGTGCGCCGGCTGCAGCGTGCCATTGGAGGGTGAACCAACGGCAAAGGAAGACCTTTCTCTCTGTCTCTCTCTCTCATTGTCCACTCTGCCTGTCAAAAACAAAAACAAAAACAAAAACAAAAACAAAAAAAAACAAAAAACAAAAAAACTACGTTATGATAGCACTTCACTCCTGTAGGACTGGCTACTATCAAAAAGATAAAAGATGACAAGTATTGGTGAGGACGTGGAGAAAAGGGAACCTTGCACTTGTACAGCCACTGTGAAAAACAATATGGTGGTTCCTCTTAAAACTGAAAGTAAATTTACCATGTGCTCTAGGAGTCCCACTAATGGGTATATATACAAAGAAAATGAAATCAGTCTGCCAGAGAAATTTGCAATCCTGTATTTATTGCTGCACGATTCACAAAATAAATGGAAACAATCTAAATGTCCATCAACTGATTAATGGATAAAGCAAGTGTGGTGCATATATACAATGGAATACTACTCAGCAATAAAAGGGACAAAATTCTGTCACTTGTGGCCACATGGGTGGAACTGGGCTCATTATGTTAAGTGAAATAAGCCAAACACAGAAAGTCAAGTATCACATGATCTCACTTGTGTGGAGGCTAAAAATATGGTGATCTCATAGAAGTTAAGACTATATGGTGGTGCTTGCTTTGGCAGCACATATACTAAGACTACATGGTGGTTACCAGATGTGGGGACGGAAGCAGAGAAGGAGAGATGTGGAAGGGTTGACTAATAGGTGCTGAGTTATAGCTAGACAGGAGTAGGAATTCTTGAGTTCTACTGCATAGTAAGATGACTACAGATAATGTTAATGTACTGTAGATTTCTCTGGTAAGAAAAGAACTAGAAGACAGGATTCTGGATTTTTCACAATAAAGAAATATTAAATGTTTCAGGGAATAGAATTATATACATATACATTGATTGGACATGACACAACATAATATGTGTTTTGAAACATAAGAGGAGCCAGCGCTGTGGTGTAGCAGGTAAAGCTGCCACCTGCAGTGCTGGCATCACATAAGGGCACCAGTTTGAGTTCCGGCTGCTCTATTCCAATCTAGCTCTCTGCTATGGCCTGGGAAAGCAGTAGAAGATGGCCTAGACACTTGGGCCCCTGCATCTGCAGTGGAGACCTGGAAGAAGCTCCTGGTTCCTGGCTTTGGATCAGCACAGCTGCGGGCCCTTATGGCCACTTGGGGAGTGAACCAGCAGATGGAAGACCTTTCTCTCCTAAAAAAAACCAAACAAACAAACAAAAAAACCGTGCAATGGAGGATGGCCCAGGTCCTTGGGCCCTGCAACCTCATGGGAGACCAGGAGAAAGCATCTGGCTCCTGGCTTCAGATCAGCGCAGCACGCTGGCCGCAACACGCCAGCCGTAGCGGCCACTTGGGGGGTGAACCAACAGAAAAAGGAAGACCTTTCTCTCTGTCTCTCTCTCTCTCTTACTGTCTAACTCTGCCTGTCAAAAAAAAAAAAAAAACTGTAACAGAAATAAAAAATTTTAGAAAAAGAAAAATTTATTTCATTGCAAAAAAATTTTCATCTATGAAGTTTTTTCATAACACATTTCCATGAATTTAGTGAAAATTCTACATATGCATGGATTTCAAAGATTTTTTGCAACAAAATAATCTTTCAATTCCACCTTCCACATATTTTATGAAATAGTCTCATATAATAAGTCTTAGATTCATTTGCTATTAATATTTTGATTTATTTACATGTTTCAGAGTTAAAAAAAAACTCTTTTTATTTATTTATTTATTTATTTATTTGACAGGCAGAATTAGAGAGAGACAGAGAGAAAGGTCTTCCTTTTTCCTTGGTTCACCCCCCCAAGTGGCTGCTACGACCAGCGTGCTGCGCCGATTCGAATCCAGGAGCCAGGTGCTTCTCCTGGTCTCTCATGGGGTGCAGGGCCTAAGGACCTGGGCTATCCTCCACTACACTCCCGGGCCACAGCAGAGAGCTGGCCTGGAAGAGGGGCAACTGGGACAGAATCCGGCGCCCTGACCGGGACTAGAACCCGGTGTGCCGGCGCCGCAGGCAGAGGATTAGCCTATTGAGCCGCAGTGCCGGCCAAAAAAACCTTTCATTTGAAAGGCAGAGTTACACAGAGAGGGAAAGACAGAGAAAGAGAGAGATCTTCTACTCACTGGTACCCTCCCCAAATGGCTGCAATGGGCAGCAGGGGCTGTGACAGGCTGAAGTCAGGAGCCTGGGACTCCATCCAGGTCTTCCACATGGGTGGCAGGGGCCCAAATACATGGGTCACCTTCCACTGCTTTCCTAGGTGTGTTAACAGAGAGCTGGATTAGAAGTGGAGCAGCTGGGACTTGAACTGTCACTCATAGAGGATGCTGGCATCGCAGTTACAGGCTCATCATGTTGTACCACAATGCTCGGCCCCAATGTTTCAGATATTTTTAATAAAAGTTATAAATTGACCCAATCATCCTTATATACCAATCCCATTGTTAGTTTAAGGAAATATCAAGTTTTTAAACCAATTTGGATATTTTTTAATAATAATAACATCCTATTCTTTGCTGAAATTTTTATTTGGGATTTAGCTGATTATAAACATAGGTACTAGATTGAACTTGCATGTAGGCAGGTTAAAAAACAGAAAATGGGGGCCAGTGCTATGGCATAGCGGGTAAAGCCACAGCCTGCCATGCCAGCATCCCATATGAGTGCCGGTTTGAGTCCTGGCTGTTCCACTTCTGATCCAGCTCTCTGCTATGGCCTGGGAAAGCAGTACAAGATGGCCCAAGTCTTTGGCCCCTGCACCTGCGTGGGAGACCTGGAAGAAGCTCCTGGCTCCTGGCTTTAGATCAGCACAGTTCCAGTCATTGCAGCCAATTGGGGAATAAACCAGAGGATGGAAGACCTCTCCCCTCCCTCCCTCCCTCTCTCCCTCCCTCCCTCTGCCTCTTCTCTCTCTGTGTAACTCTAACTTTCAAATAAATAAATAAATCTTAAAAAGAAAGGAAACAAATTGCAGTAGGCATTGTGGTGCAGCAGGTTGAGCCCCTGCTTGGGAAGCCCACATCCTGCATTGCAGTGCCTGGTTTGAGTCCCGTCTCTGCTTCTCCTTCCTGCTAATGTGCCTTGGAGGCAGCAGATGATGTATTGCATCCCTGCCACCCACGTGGTCAGCCACATGGAGTTCTGGCTCTCAGCTCCGGCCTGGCCCAGCCCTAGCTGTAAGGACATTTGGGGAGCATTTGGGGAGTGAATTGGCATATGGAAGAGCTCTATTGCTCTACCTTTCAAATAAATAAAAATGAATAAATAAGCATAAGAAGAAATATATGGTTTCTTTATATTTTTGCTAAACCCTTTACTTTCTCCTTATATCAGTGACAGAGGTTTTCTGTTTGTAATATAATCACATAAGAAAAATTTGTGATCAGAATGAAAGCAATGATTTCAATCAGCCATAGCCTGATGAGTTGGGGGCACTGCAGTCAGACAGAAAAAGGTCTTGGGAAAGGTCAGTTTAGGGCAGGGCCCAGGAATGGTCTCCACCAGGGTTTTACCCTGATACCTGGTTCCCTGGCCCCCTGTGCATCTGGTAGGTGATCCTCACCCATCACTCCTGGTGTGTTCACTGCTCTGGCTAGTGTTACCCAATACCCAAGAAAAGAGACTGAACTTTCTCTTCTAAAATGCACACATCCCTTTGGAGATCACTGGGAGGTCATTTATAAGAGTTAACTTGCCTTTCACCCCAATTTGGGTTCAAAATTTAAAGCCTGAGCTGAGCATTGTGGCACAGTGGTTTACACTGCCACTGGGGACAACTGCATCCCAAATCCACTTCTGATCCAGCTTCCTATTTATGCATCCTGGGAGATAGCAGATGATAGTTTAAGTGCTGGGCTCCTGGTTTTGTCATGACCCAGTCCTGGCTGTTGTGGACATTTGGAGAAGGAACCATCAGGTGGGTGACTCTCTCTCTTGCTCTCTCTCTCTCCCTCCCCCATGCCCCATCTTTCAATTAGATGAAAATAAGAAACCTTTTTTAAAAAGTTAAAGCTCAAGCTAATAGACTGTAGAATGACATAGATAAATGTTTTTGCACCCTTATTTCAAATGTTAAAATATCTAACTTAATTAGGAATGATTTCAGATCATATAATCTTGTCGTACAAGGTCCAATTCCCAGGCCAGAGGGAGTCATTTTATTCCCAGATTACTATGATCATAACATTGAGGTCAAATATTGTCTGTTTTTTGTTTGAATGTTTCTCACATTCATATTTTTTCACGAAGACACTGCCCTATTTCTAGTCACATAGGAATTTCTAGTCCGCCATTTCTCAGAGACCTCTAGCACAATTATAGAATCTGAACAAAGCTATATGATTTCATTCCTCTGCATTATTCGGCATTACTGACAAAATCAAAAGGGCAACTTCTTACAAATGTATTGTTTGCTTAAAATTACTGTCTTCTGTAGTTGTTAGATACAAAGATATGCTAGATGCATGATAGAGAAAGAAGATTTGTGATTAAAGCCTTCTACAGCTTACTGATGTTTTGTCTACTTTTATATCCATTTCTGAGAGAGGGATGTGAACCCTCTCAGTCCGTATGTGTATCACATCCTTCTTGTGGTCAGTCTGTCTGACACAATATGCTTGGCAGCCAAGAACACCTATGGGAAACCCTAGGAGTTTGGATAGGAAGGATCTGACCAGCGGAGCAGGGGAGCACAGGGGAGCTGGGCTGGGCAGAACCAGCGTCAGAAGTGGTGAATGGTTTGCAAAGAGGTCCTGATCTTATTTTGTTCCTGGTGTGGGCTCGGCTGGAGGAGGGGTGTTCTAAGAATGGGGTCACGTGGGGGATTCCACTGTGAGGCAGCAAGGATGAAGGCAGCGGATTGGTCAAGAGAGGGCAGAAGCAGGTCAGGGTTGGTAAGGCAACCACCAAACAAAACACTCGGAGGAAAACGGGGCCTCCTCTGTGCCCCTCTGCTCACTCCCGAGTGTCTCACACCTGCTGTCTGTCCTGCTGTGTGCAGCCTCCCACTGATGTGTCTCTGAACCCTGTTCCCAGCCTCTACACGTGCTTTGACCCTAGTACTTTCCTGACTCCCTTCTCCTGCTTCACCCAGGTGCCCACCATCCCGCTTCCTGCCACATCGCTTCCCATTCCCCATCCCCATCCCGACCTCCCCACCCCCTTCCCATCCCCCCCCTTCCCCTCTTCCTATCTGGTGACTTGGGGCACCCGAGAGCACCAGGACATGGAGGTGTGCAGGCGGATCTTCTGGATGTTCCTGCTGGGGTTTCTCAGTCCCTCCAACTGGAATGTGAGTAAACATTAGATGTGCCACGGTTTCTTCCCTTCTATTGGGCTGTGACACACTGAGCTTTATATAACAGCCTTTTCAGGGTCTCTTGGATAGCAACTTGGCCCTCCTTGGAGACCAAGAACTTCAGCACAGCTGTCATAACCAGGCTGATCAGGCTCTGGCCACATCTGTGACATCAGCTTCTGCTGGGTCCTGACACAGAAAAGACTAACAGGATGGGATTCTGAAAATAATCTCATAGCATAAAAGGGAAGGATTAGTGGAAAGACTAGAGAGAAACCGTGGAATTACATGCACTAGTGGTGGGGACTGTATGGTATGGAATTGTATCTCAATAGTGTTTTTTTTAAAGATTTATTTATTCATTTGAAAATCAGAGTTACATAGAGAAGGAGAGGCAGAGAGAGAAAGAGAGGTCTTCCATTTGCTGGTTCACTCCCCAACTGGCCGCAATGGCTGGAGCTGCACTGATCTGAAACCAGGAGCCAGGAGCTTCTTCTGGGTCTCCCACACTGTCCACTCTGCCTGTCAAAAATAATAATAATAATAATAATTAAAAAATTTTAGACAGGCAGAGTGGACAGTGAGAGAGAGAGAGACAGAGAGAAAGGTCTTCCTTTACCGTTGGTTCACCCTCCAATGGCCGCTGTGGCCAGCGCGCTGCGGCCGGCGCACCGCGCCGATCCGATGGCAGGAGCCAGGTGCTTTTCCTGGTCTCCCATGGGGTGCAGGGCCCAAGCACTTGGGCCATCCTCCACTGCTCTCCCTGGCCACAGCAGAGAGCTGGCCTGGAAGAGGGGCAACCGGGACAGAATCCGGCGCCCCGACCGGGACTAGAACCCGGTGTGCCGGCACCGCAGGCGGAGGATTAGCCTAGTGAGCCGCGGCACCGGCCTAAATTATTTTTGTGGTAATTATTATAGCAGTTGGTCTTGACTACTATAAAATTAGTTTGAAAAAAAAAAAACAGTGAATGATGAAAAAAGGTCAATGTTTTTAGAAACCTGGGCTAAGCAACAATCTGTAAATTTCGTTGGAATAATAACTCAGTTATGAGTGCACAGCTGCCGCCTATCTCTCCTTCATGTTATTCTCACTGATATCTTAAGCACACTTTGTACATTTTTCTCATTCTTCCATACAGATTGGCTATGTTGTTGGATTTTTTCCAAAACCATTTAACCAGTTACTTCAAGACTATTCAAAAGAAGATACTGACTTTCCATCCAAAGTAAGCTTATTCATTTATCAATCAATTATAACTTGGCTTATAAATTCATAAGTAAAATTCTATCAACCATTAAAAAGATTTTCTGTGTTTTTGTCAGAAAACTAAGATTGTAAGCTATGCATCATATTTTGTTCTACAGATTATGTTCAGTAAAGTTATTTAAAGTAAGCCATATCTCTTTGTAGAAACAGATTTTTTCCCCACTTTTAACATCTGCATAAGTAATGAAACTGTCTCCTCATTCAGGATGGTAAACTCATTCATCACAAACATTTTCTTCTGCTCCTCGCTTGTCCACCTGATCTCCCTCCATCCCTGTCTTCCCTGTACTGTTTTTTTGTTTTTTGTATTTTTTTTTCCAGGCAGAGTGGACAGTGAGAGAGAAAGGGACAGAGAGAAAGGTCTTCCTTTTTGCCATTGGTTCACCCTCCAATGGCCGCCGCGGCCAGAGCATCGCACTGATCCGAAGGCAGGAGCCAGGTGCTTCTCCTGGTCTCCCATGGGGTGCAGGGCCCAAGCACTTGGGCCATCCTCCACTGCACTCCCTGGCCACAGCAGAGAGCTGGCCTGGAAGAGGGGCAACCGGGACAGAATCCGGCACCCCGACCGGGACTAGAACCCGGTGTGCCGGCGCTGCAAGTCGGAGGATTAGCCTGTTGAGCCCTTACTGTTGATCTCAGTCTATTCCATTTTATAGAAGGAAAGCAGACTTGATGGGCTTATTGTTATTGTTATTCTAGATTAGCTAAGTCAGCAAGAGCAGAGATTGATCCATATTGTTTTATACATTAGTAGTTTATTTTTTCCATTGCTATTAGAAATCCTTTGTTTGGATTGACAACAATTTGTCCTTTACTTTGGGGAGGATGTGGGACTTGTTTTTCCCATTGATCCTTGCTCTTAAAACAAAAGCAGTTCTTCTGTGAGATTTCCCAGTATATCCCTGCATTTTGCAGCTCCACAATGAATTGGCTGGGAAAAATCTCCAGCTGGGATTGTACCTATGATTCTATAAACATATAGAATTGTAATAGTTTTTGGCACTTTTGTTCAAAAGAAAAGTCGCTGACATGAGACATTTTGGTTTTGCTAATTACCATGATCATTTTATCAGGAAAACACTGAAACAGATAGCATTGATTGATTAATATTTTACCAAACATGAGTTTACACATAACTGTCCACCTGTCCATCTTATTTTTGGCACATTTTATAATGAATTGCAGGCATCACTGTATTTCCTTCTAAATAGTACAGCATGATTGTCATGAACTAAAATTCAATATTTCTTGACAGATTTTTCTTTAAAAAAAGATACATAGAGGAAAACATAAAAAGTGTAAGTCACTAACTTTGAAAAATATACAAGTATAGCCCAAACCCTATCAAAATCTACAAAATGACTGTCTCCCCAGCAAGCGTTCTCACTTTCTTCCCAGTCGGTCCCTATCCTCATCATTAATTTTGCTTGTTCTAGAATTTTATATAAACAGATGCATACATGCCATATTTACTCTTTTGTGTCTGCCTTATTTTGTTCACACAATGTGTCTAAAATCACTTGCATTGTCCCTTAAATCAGTAATTTTCTTTCACTCACTTCTGACTCAGCATAATACTTACATTATTATCTCTGATTCACCAGCTTGAAGGAAATGTTTAGAATTAATTATGTGCTAAGTTTTTAAAAACAAACAGGCAAATCCAGAACAATCTATGGACAGCACTGATTAGAATCAGTCAGGACCTACTCAGTGGAAGTCTGTCTTCCTTCTCATAAGAGTCTAATGGAATTAATTCAAGAATATTAGAAAAAAAACCACACTTCAGCCTCATTTTCATTATCGCCATCGTGGTTTTATTTAAGCACTGATACTTGATTTTTGTTTGAATAAAGTTTTTGGTTTTTTGGTTGATGCTGATCTTTGAGTATGAAAATCATATAATCCAAGAGAAAAGCACCTTGAAGAGATTCTTGTGCAGCAACAGACATAGGAGAGGGAGGGCCCGTGGTGAACTAGAACCCTCCACTTAGAGACATCCACATTCACAACATCTAAAAACACTTGCAGCCGTCCAGGAAATGTGAGATTGGCAAACTCTGATATTTCCTGAAGCAGTGAATTCCCCTGCAGTCAGCTGCAGCCTACCTCTGGCAGGCTGGCCTGGGTTTTCTAAAAGATGATTCTTTGTGGGTGAAATACTATAAATATCTCTGAGGTGTCTCACTGTTTCTAGTGTTATCATTGCAGCTGGTCCATGTTCCACCTAGCCATTTTCATCTTGGACTTCATTGTTTTGAAATTCCCTGGAAATCTATCATTATTGTCTCCTTGGTAATTTCTGCATTTTCCATTTTCTCCAGGAGGACTGGCCTTGCGGTGAGTATACTACAGCAACATACAGGTAACTTTTAATCCTAAATCAGGAGGAACTTCAGTCACTGCACCCTTTATTTGCATTCAGCACAATGAGCTCCCCTTGCAGCACTGCTTCCCCTGCATCCTATCAGTCTCAACAAGTCCATTTCATTTCTCATTCAGATTGAAATATTTTTATATTTCTCTCAATTGCTTCTTTGAGTCATGTGCTCTTTCTCTTAAGTATTTATGTATTCATTTATCTGAAAGAGAGAGATAAATGACTACAACAGCTGGGATGGAGCCAGGTCACAGCCAAGTGCTGGGAACTCCATCCAGGTCTCCCGCATGAGTGGCAGGAATTCAAGTCCTCATGCCATCATTTGCTGCTTCCCAGGCACATTTGCAGGGAGCTGGGTCAGAAGTGGAGGAGCTGGGATTCAAACCGGCACTCCGATAACAGGAGGCAGGTGTCCTGAGTACGACTTAACCATGACACCAGCCCTGATTCGTGTGCTCTTTGGAACTACATTGTTTAATCTTCAAATAACTTTTGCCTTTCAATATCTTTCTATTGTTGATTTCTACATTAATTTTGTGGTCATAGGGAAAATTTTCTATTATTACTTGGAATGTAACTTTCACCTGTGCCTTTCAGTGTAGTTCTGTTCTTTCCTTTAGGTGAGACAGTCGACAGCGGTAGAGTTGGGTATTTCCCATCACACAGGTCATTTAATCTCTGGCACATTCCCAGTTAGGCTCAGGGGAAATAGATTCTCGTGAAGGCGGGTCTTTTAAATGAGTAGAGAAGACCCTGGGCTTACTTTGAAATGACTGTTTTTCACATACCTTTGTGGAAAACGTGAGAGGATCTATTCTCCAGTATTCACTGTTAGAACCTGCTGGGACTCCTAGAAAGAAAACTCACACCAAGAATGACAGCCTCCACGTGATGGGAATCCCCTGGCATTGTGCAGCGTCACCTTTTCCACATCGAGCCTCCTGGAACTCATCAGTTACAGCATCGGTTTTCCGTGGTGTACTGATCCCCCATGAGAATTGTGACTTGGTATGTGCGCTCTGGTATGTGGTGATTCATTGTATCTGTCTGTCTTTCTCATCCTGAAGGCAGCACTTTGCACTGTGACATCAGTTCTCTGATAGATCTAATGGGTTTTTTTGATTTTTAGTTACTTCATCTTTTTCCTTATTATGTACACAGGAATGATAGTCTACAAGCTCCTTACAAGCCAGACCAGAAGTCAAGGGTCCAGCAATTTTCTGACTTCTAGATCATCAATATGAGCACAGTTAATGTAATCAATGCACAATCATTCTTAGGCATTTAAAATTTAACAGAAAAGTGATCTCTGTTAAACGTAGGAGTGGGAATAAGAGAGGGAGGAGATATATAGGTTGGCACATGCTCACTCGGACTTACCTCCAATGGTGGAACTAGAAATGTGCCAGGGGATTTCAACTCAATCTTACCAAGGAGGCAGGTACCAATGCCAACACACTTGGTAAAGTGATAAGTATAAATACACAACCGATCAAAAAGGTAGGGTATGTGTTGATGAGATTTCACAAATAAGACCAGTGTAAGCAAATAATGAAGGATAGAATTAAAAGGGAGATGATCCTGTGGGGGAAACAGGACACACAGCAGACTCATAGAATGGCAGCACTCCTGCCTGAGAATCAACCCTTGGGACATTCGGATCTGGCTAAAAGGTCCATGAGAGTCTCACAGGCATGGAAAGCCATGACACGGTGGCAAAAAACAATCCAAATGAAAGATCCTGGTGAACAAGACCCCAGCAGAAGGAACAGGCCATCAAGGAGAGAGGTGCCTTTCTCTGAAGGGAGGAAGGAACCTCCACTGTGATACGGCCTTGACTAAACAAGCTAAGAGTCAGTAAACTCAAGGGGCTTCCATAGCCTAGACAGCTCATAGCAAGAGTCTCGGGTGATTGCTGACGTCATAAATAAGAGTGCCAATTGTTAAATCAACAACGGGAGTCACTGGGTACATGCTCCCCACGTAGGATCTCTGTCCTTAATGTGTTCTATTATGAAACTTATAAAACAACACTACTAGTCGAACAATACCCTATACCTTGTGCAGTTGTATGAGTGCAGCCTGTTGAAATCCTTGCTTAGTATATACTAAGTTGATCTTCAATATATGAAGGTAATTGAAAATGAAACTCGATGAAGGGCGGGATAGGAGAGGGAGTGGGAGAGGGGAGGGCCACGGGAGGGAGGGAGGTTGGGGGGGGCCACAACAATACAAAAGTTGCACTTTGTAAATTCACATCTATTAAATAAAAAATAACTATATAACAAACAAAAAAAGAAAGAATAAAAAAGAACTTAATACTTTACCCTTTTAGTATTTTTTATGTTCTACTTAAAACTATTGGTTGAACTCTGTAATTAATACACAATTACTCTTAGGTGTTTAATTAATACTATAACTAGTACTCAAATAGTATTTTACACTTTGTGCTTCTGTGTGGGTGCAAACTGTTGAAATCTTTACTTAATATATGCTAAATTGATCTTCTGTATATAAAGATAATTGAAAATTAATCCTGATGTGAATGGAAGGAGAGAGGGAGTGGGAGAGGGGAGTGTTGTGGGTGGAAGGGAAGTTATGGGGGGGGAAGCTATTGTAATCCATAAGCTGTACTTTGGAAATTTATGTTCATTAAATAAAATAAAATTAAAAAAAGGAAATTACCCTCGTAAATACACATTTTATTACATGTATTACTAATAGTATTGTATTACCAAGGCAACTATATGTTATCAATGATAAAATGACAACTCACAAATATTTTTCCTTCAAACAGAAAAACTGAATGTTAAATACTTGGTGAACTCACTGCTTTTCCATTTGCCCACCCTTAGGATTGGGTGACAAGGGTATGGAAATCACTGTTTCCTGATCTGGGTGGGAAGTAAAAGGAATACCTATGATTTTCTGTTTGCTCTTCCTGGATATATTTTCCCATAACAACTGATAATGAGTTATTTTTTGATGTTTTGTTGAAGGATAATGACAGAAAAGCTGAAGACATGAACAATCTAGTGAATGACCTTATTCAAAGTATATATGCCAAGCTTCCACCTGGAACAGATCTGAATGCCCAGAATCATGACTTGGTAAGAATTTGGCTGTTACATTTTGCCATTTTTTGGCTTCTTAGCCTTTTTAGTTTACTGGGTGAATTGAGATGCAGATTTTTCCTTGCTGTTCATGATAGTACAAGTGTGAGAGTCTAGGGGCTGAAACTTCTGTGCAATGTTCAATGTGGCTGTGTAAATCCTACAATGACTTCTTAAATTTATTTATTTATTTGAGAGGCAGAGTTACAGATAGAGAGAGGGAGAGACAGAGAGAGAGGTCTTCCGTCTGCTGGTTTACTCCCCAAATGGCCGCAAAGGCCAGGGCTGGGCCAGGCTGAAGACTGGAGCTTCCTCTGGGTCTCCCACGTGGATGCAGGGGCCCAAGTACTGGGGCCATTTTCCACTGCTTTCCCAGGTCATTAGCAGGGAGCTGGATAGGAAATGGAGCAACTGGGGATTAAACCGTCACCCATATGGGATGATGGTGCAGCAGGCAGAGGCCCAAGCCATTATGCCACAGCACCAGCCCCCTGGTTGACTTTCATCTCTTCAGTTTATCACTCAGAGTTTCTATGGAAATTACAGTGCAGATAGTAGAAAAAGAAAACTTCAGAGAAACTGAAAGATGTTACACCAATGTTATTTTTGCCAATAAACATCTCAGGATTGTCAGAGAGAAACTACCTATACTCGCTACAGGATTTCCATTGTATATCTTAGCTTTGATGCAGAACAAATATTTCATTTCTTAAAAGATTAAAATTGGGGGCAGCGCTGTGGCACAACAGGTTAATCCTCTGCCTGTGGTGCGGGCATCCCACATGGGCTCCAGTTCTAGACCTGGATGCTTTTCTTCTAATTCAGCTTTCTACTAAGGCCTGAGAAAGCAGTAGAAGATGGCCCTCATGGCTCCTGGCTTCAGATTGGCCCACTCTGGCCATTGTGGCCATTTGGGGAGTGAACCAGCAGATGGAAAACCTTTCTCTCTGTCTCTCCCTCTCACTGTCTGTAACTCTACCTTTCAAATAAAACAAAAAGATTAAAATTGTATGATCTCTACATGGAATTTTGCTTTGGGAATTGTCATTAGTGAGAATTCCCTATATTAGGTTCAAATTACCACTAATGATGTCAGGGTCAGGAAAGTAAAACTGAAGTTTGAAGATGAGAAAGTAGACAAAGAAAATACTCAGCTCATGCCATCAAGATGGCATGTAACAATGCCATCTTACTTGTTAAAGTGATCAGTTTAAGTTCATAATTGATCAAAAAGATAGGATTAAGTGTCAAAGGGATTACATAAATCAGACCAGTGTCTGCAAATAATAATTGATAGAATTAGAAAGGAGACAATGATCCTACATGGGAAGCAGGATACACAGCAGGCTCATAGAGTGGCAAATGCCCTAAATAGCACTCTGGCCTCAGAATCAGCCCTTAAAGCATTCAGATCTGGCTAAAAAGCCCATGAAAATTACTCAGGCATGGAAAGCCAAGACACTGTGACAAAAAAAAAATGACCTAATTGAAAGATCTCTGTGAGTGAGATCCCAGTGGAAAGAAGGGGCCATCAAAGGAGGAGGTACCTTTCTCTGAAGGGAGGAGAGAACTTCCACTTTGACTATGGCCTTGTCTGAATAAGATCGGAGTTGGTGAACTCAAGAGGCTTCCATAGCCTTGGCAGCTCATGACAAGAGCCTCAGGTAATTACTGACGTCATAAATAAAAGTGTCAATTGTTAAATCAACAAAGGGAGTCACTGTCCACCTACTCCCCATGTAGGATCTTAACTATTTTGTTTAAAAAGCTTTATTTTGGGGGGCTGGCATTGTGGCGTAATGTGTAAAGCCACTGCCTGCAGTGCCAGCATCCCATATGGGTCAGTTTGAGACCAGACACTCTGCTTCCTATTCAGTTCTCTGCTATGGCCTGGGAAAGCAGTGGAGGTTGGCCCAAGGCCTTGAGCCCTTGTACCTGCGTGGGAGACCTGGAAGAAGCTCCTGGCTCCTGGCTTCGGATCAGCACAGCTCCAGCTGTTCCGACCATCTGGGGAGTGAACCAGCAGATGGAAAGCCTCTCTCTCTCTCTCTCTCTCTCTCTTTCTCTTACTCTTTCTCTTTCTCTCTCTCTTTGCCTCTCCTTCTCTCTGTGTGTATAACTGTGACTTTCAAGTAAAATAAATAAATTTTTTTAAAAAAAAAGCTTTATTCATTATTTCTTTGAAAGGCAGAGTTACAGAGAGAAAGAGAAAGATAGATTTTTCATCTACTGGTTCACTCTCCAAATGGCGACAATGCCTGGGGGACCAGACAGAAGCTACCTATTTCTAAGGGAAAAACTGAGTAGTGTTAAATGTTCACAAAGTTGTGCAGTCATTATTTCTCGAATGTCTCTTCGTATATTTGTCTTAAAGTCTACAGAGTATCATGATGAAGCCAAGGAAGCCAAGTGGGAAGCCCTGAGGTCCAGCATATGTGAACTGGAAGGTACACTGTTGGGAAAAAAGGCCCAATAGAGCAAAGATCAGTTTTCACTGGGAAGGTGAAGAATGGCTTACTGCCCCAGGGTCCTTGCCCAGCCACGTTCTTAGGTCCAAGTGCACATACACAAAGAACACTGTTTTATCTTTTGCAGAAGATAAAAAGAACCTGGAAGATAGCTGCCATACATTGAGCTCTGCATTGGCAGAAAAGGAGGCTGACTACAAACTACTGAAGATGACTTTGAATAGTCTTTATGAAAACTATGCACAAAGAAAGATGACCCTAACAAGGTAAGATGCTCACATGTTCTTAGATACAACTACTGTTGTGTGAACAAGTGTGTCCACCAATGTAGGCAGCTGTAACTGTCAAAGCAGAGCTTTTCCTTATGATCCAGGTTTTGTCTTAGTCTGTCTCAAGGCTGATGCAGGGGTTGTATGTCTTCAGTAGTATCTTGTTTGCACTGAAATGTGAGCTCTCTTAGGGTGGGACAGTGCCTTGCTCCACTGTGTCTTCAATACCTTACTGCATTTGGGCCTCTCCACAAAGCATTTGCTGAAGCCTTGCATGGATGGCCAGAAAAATAAATACAGAAACCTTCTGTGTTGCTTTGTGCCTATTTCCTTCCTATGGCTCTTTAAATGTTGTGGGTAATCCCTATTAAAACAGGTATCAAATTGATAATCTTTTGACTCAAAACCATGGACAAAGCAGTTCAAGGGCAGCACAGCAAGTGTAACTTTCCAGACCTCAGGATTTGCTGCCTACACCATCAGTGAACTCCATCTTGTGAGAGCAGATGACACTGAGGCTGAGGGTTTCCCGGCCGTTGGCTCCAGGTTTCCAGGAGCTAAGACCCTGACTGGGTGGCAGTTCACAACATTTTCAAATTCAGTCCGTGTTGGTAGCACTATGATTTGCTTTTTCCCTCTACTAAGCTTGAAGCAGTAGCTGGCAGGGGCTCCACTCCTGCATTTAGACATATCCACAAGTCACTAGTAACCCTGGAAGGCTCTCTGCAGGTCTGATTGTCTATGTCAGGGTACCCGCCTGAGACGGAGAATCAGTCTCGCATGGGAGGAGACAGACAAGTATGGATCCCCTGTCTTACAAACAGTGGGATGAATTGGGATGAATTGGTCTGGTTTTCCATCTGGAAAGAAAATGAGCATTTACTGTCTCAAGGTCATGGCTGACCAGTGCATTCCATAGGTGCTATGTATACAAACATATGTAATGTATGAAATTATGGCTTATTTACTAACAAATAGGAATACAGAGCTACGAGGAGGAGCGTGAAATTGCAGAGGAGTTGCCAGTGGCCCAGAGTCTGATTTTCCTCTGGTCCTCAATGGGCAGCTTTAATTCTGTTCTCAGAATGCGTTTGTGGGTGTGCACATTATTACAGAAGGCTGGGAGGGAATTTTGCATTCAAACCCATCAGACTGCTGGATGGTCAGAAAGGCAGAGTTTCACATGGGCTTCTGGGTGAGGTGCATTTCTTTCCCACCTTAGGGAGCTGGCAAGGCAGCAACAGGAGCAGATGGAGAGCGAGAGGCAGCTGTTAGAGAAAGAGGAAAACCTGAAACTGGCTGAAGAGGAGTTACAAAAATACAAGTGAGTTCTGAGATTGAACACCAACTACTCTGGAAACCCTTGTTGGATTTTGTTTTTAACTCTATTTAGTGTTTAGATATGATTAACACAGAAATATGAACAGTCTGAGGACATACGTGGAGAAAAAAAAAAAGCTCACAGCAGGGAAAACACAGCAAATTAAATTTTACTAATGACCAGAAAATGTTGTTACTGAACATTTGCTGATCCCTAACGCTGGGCCAACAGTGTGGGAGGCAGGACTCGTGTGAATGTTTGTGGGGTGGTGGCAGTTATGATTATCCTTAGGAGAGCAGTTTGGTGTAGGAGAGATCACAGCCATAGAAGTGACAGTAGCATTTTGTAAACCCAGTTGTTGCCACTCTGGGGAATATGGAAGCATATCAGTAAAAGGAGAACAGAGCTTTGTGAGAAAAGATACTCAAGTAGAATCCCTCTTTGCAGATGATATGATTCTTTATTTAGGGGATCCAAATAACTCTAATAAGAGACTATTGGAACTCATAGAAGAGTTTGGCAAAGTAGCAGGATATAAAATCAATGCACAAAAATCAACAGCCTTTGTATACACAGGCAATGCCACGGCTGAGAAAGAACTGCTAAGATCAATCCCATTCACAATAGCCACAAAAACAATCAAAAACCTTGGAATAAACTTAACCAAGGACGTTAAAGAGCTCTACGATGAAAATTACAAAACCTTAAAGAAAGAAATAGAAGAGGATACCAAGAAATGGAAAAATCGTCCATGCTCTTGGATTGGAAGAATCAATATCATCAAAATGTCCATTCTCCCAAAAGCAATTTATAGATTCAATGCAATACCAATCAAAATACCAAAGATATTCTTCTCAGCTCTGGAAAAAATGGTGCTGAAATTCATATGGAGACACAGGAGACCTTGAAGAGCTAAAGCAATCTTGTACAACAAAAACAAAGCTGGAGGCATCACAATACCAGATTTCAGGACATACTACAGGGCAGTGGTAATCAAAACAGCTTGGTACTGGTACAGAAACAGATGGATAGACCAATGGAACAGAATAGAAACACCAGAAATCAACCCAAACAGCTATATCCAACTTATATTTGATCAAGGATCCAAAACCAATCCCTGTAGCAAGGACAGTCTATTCAATAAATGGTGCTGGGAAAATTGGATTTCCACATGCAGAAGCATGAAGCAAGACCCCTACCTTTCACCTTACACAAAAATCCACTCAACATGGAGTAAAAACCTAAATCTACGACGTGACACCATCAAATTATTAGAGAGCATTGGAGAAACCCTGCAAGATATAGGTACTGGCAAAGACTTCTTGGAAAAGACCCTGGAAGCACAGGCAGTCAAAGCCAAAATTAACATTTGGGATTGCATCAAATTGAGAAGTTTCTTTACTGTAAAAGAAACAGTCAGGAAAGTAAAGAGGCAACCAACAGAATGGGAAAAAATATTTGCAAACTATGCAACAGATAAAGGATTAATAACCAGAATCCACAAAGAGACCAAGAAACTCCACAACATCAAAACAAACAACCCACTTAAGAGATGGGCCAAGGACCTCAACAGACATTTTTCAAAAGAGGAAATCCAAATGGCCAACAGACAAATGAAAAAATGTTCAGGATCACTAGCAATCAGGGAAATGCAAATCAAAACCACAATGAGGGTTCACCTCACCCTGGTTAGAATGGCTCACATACAGAAATCTACCAACAACAGATGCTGGCGAGGATGTGGGGAAAAAGGGACACTAACCCATTGTTTGTGGGAATGCAAACTGGTTAAGCCACTATGGAAGTCAGTCTGGAGATTCCTCAGAAACCTGAACATAACCCTACCATACAACCCAGCCATCCCACTCCTTGGAATTTACCCAAAGGAAATTAAATTGGCAAACAAAAAAGTGGTCTGCACATTAATGTTTACTGCAGCTCAATTCACAATATCTAAGACCTGGAATCAACCCAAATGCCCATCAACAGTATTCTGGATAAAGAAATTATGGGACATGTACTCTGTAGAATACTATACAGCAGTCAAAAACAATGAAATCTGGTCATTTGCAACAAAATGGAGGAATCTGGAAAACATCATGCTGAGTGAATTAAGCAAGTCCCAAAGGGACAAATATCATATGTTCTCCCTGATCAGTGACAACTAACCGAGCACCAAAAAAGAAACCTGTCAAAGTTAAATGGACACTATGAGAAACAGTGACTTGATCAGCTCTTGCCCTAACTGTTGATGTACAATGTAATAGTGTATCCCTTTTAGTATTTTTTCTTCTACTTAATACTATTGGTTGAACTCTGTAATTAACACACAATTATTCTTAGGTGTTTAAATTTAACTGAAAAGTGACCTCTGTTAAATATAATAGTGGGAATAAGAGAGGGAGGAGATGTACAATTTGGGACATGCTCAAGCTGACTCGCCCCAAATGGTGGAGTTAGAAATGTGCCAGGGGATTCCAATTCAATCCCATCAAGGTGGCATGTACCAATGCCATCTCACTAGTCCAAGTGATTAATTTCAGGTCACAATAGATCATAATGATAGGACTAAAAGTCAAAGGGATCCCATAAACAAGACTAGTGTTTGCCAATACTGATAGTTAAAAAAAGGGAGAGAATGATCCAACATGGGAAGTGGGATACACAGCAGACTCATAGAATGGCAGATGTCCTAAACAGCACTCTGGCTTCAGAATTAGCCCTTACGGCATTCAGATCTGGCTGAAGATCCCATGAGAGTATTTTAGGCATGGAAAGCCAAGACACTGTGGCAAAAAACCAACCAAACAAAAACAACAACAACAACAACAAAAACCACACACACCTAAATGAAAGATCTCTGTGAGTGAGATCCCAGTGGAAAGAATGGGCCATCAAAGAAAGAGGTACCTTTCTCTGAAGGGAGGAGAGAACTTCCACTTTGACTATGACCTTGTAGAAGTAATATCGAAGTTGGCGAACTCAAAAGGCTTCCATAGCCTCGGCAACTCATGACTAGAGCCTAGGGAGAATACTGACACCTTAAACAAGAGTGTCAATTTGTCAACAACAGGAGTCACTGTGCACTTACTCCTCATGTAGGATCTCTGTCCTTAATGTGTTGTTCAATGTAAATTAGTGCTATAACTAGTACTCAAACAGTAGTTTACACTTTATGTTCTGTGTGGGTGCAAACTGATGAAATCTTTACTTAATATATACTAAATTGATCTTCTGTACATAAAGATAATGGAAAAGGAATCTTGATGTGAATGGAATGGGAGAGGGAGTGGGAGATGGGAGGGTTGCGGGTGGGAGGGAAGTTATGGGGAGGGGAAGCATTGTAATCCATAAACTGTACTTTGTAAATTTATATTTACTAAATAGAAGTTAAAAAAAAGGAAACAGAAAAAAAAAGATACTCAATTAGAATAAAGCAGGGTAAGGAGATTATGCTAACTCAGAATCCTGCAGACTTTATATACTGGATAAAAAACTGGTAAAGCAGTAGTTTGCATTCCACTGTGCCTTTATTATCATGGTACATACAAGATGTTTGATCTGTGTGCATGTTTTGTGCACATGTGTGAAGATAATGACCACCTAGGTACACTGAGTAAAATCATCATCAAAAAATGCTTATCTGATGACAGTAAATCTCAATCACAGGAGAAAAATTCAAGAACTGCAGGCACGGCAGGAGCGACAAAGGTCCATGTTCAGAAACCAGGTAATCTGCATTCTGCCAATCATTGCAGAATCCTCAGCCCCTTATGCCGATAACTACAGTGCTACTTAGATCCCCTGGACTTAGCTGCTGATGTGTGGACTTTTTCAGATAGCCTTTTACACCCAGAAGGATAGGGAAAACAGGGTAAGACTTTTTGAAGACTTTTTCTTTGCTGCCTTCTTTTGTGCCCCGTCTTCCACAGCTAACCAGGCATGCGTTTTCCTCCCACAGCTCAGGGCCTGTGCTTTTGAGCAGGAGGTGATGGAAAGGAGGAAGGAGCTGGTCTACTTGCAGCACAGGTGCTGAATGGGGTTGGCATCTTCACGGGTGTCTCTGAAGGCTTCAGATTAGGCTGTCGAGTGTCTGGTAGAGAAGCTGGTACTGAAGTCCACTTGTTTTCTGTGTTCAAGATGGGAAATGATGGAAATGCAGAGGCTGGCAGAGGGATCCTGGAGGCGGATGCCAGCACTGGGACGAATGACCTGGGGGAGCCCTCCAGGGAGAGGTAGGAGCAGCTGGTTGGGGGGCAGCTTCATTTCCACTGCAGAATCCACATCCTCCCCTTATTCCAGAAGTGACTGTTCCGTATTCTGAAAACAGTCCAGTGCACTAACTAAAGAGGAAGCATTGTCCCAGAAGGTGGTAGGACACTTTTCCTCAGGTGCCCTAGCAAGGTGGTTCTTTGGGCTGGACCCCAGGGAAAGGCCCTGCACTGGGTGTGGATTCTCCTCTACTCCCACTGGTGACTTTTTTAAAGATTTATCAGAGGGGCTGGAATTATGGTGTAGTGGGTTGGGCCACTGCCTGCAATGCCAACATCCCATATGGGCACTGGGTCTAGTCTAGGCTGCTCCACTTCCAACCCAGCTCCCTGCTGATGTACCTGAGAAAGCAGCAGAGTATTGCCCGAGTGCTTGGGCCCCTGCACCCACATGGGAGACCCAGAAGAAGCTCCTGGCTTCCACCTGGCCCAGCCCAGGCTTTTGCAGCATCTGGGGAGTGAACCAGAGGATGGATGATATCTCTCTCTCTCTCTCTCTCTCTCTCTCTCTCTCTTTCTTTCTCTCTTTCTGACTCTGCATTTCAAATAAAATAAATCTTAAAAAAAGATTTATTTGAAAGGCAGAGTGACAGAGAGGGAAAAACACATACACAGAGACAGAGAGAAGAGAGAGGAGAGAGAGGAAAGAAGGAGAGAGAGGAAAGAAGGAGAGAGAGAGAGAGAGCACACGCGAGCTTGATCTGTTGCTTCATCCTTAATGCCCATAACAGTTGAGGCTGGGCCAGGCAGAAGCCAGGAGCCAGGAATTCTATCCAGGTCTCCCGCATGGGTTTCAGGAACCTAAGTATTTGGGTGATCATTTCCTGCCTTCCCAGGTGCTTTTGCTGAAAGCTGTATCAGAAATGGAGGCACTGGAACTCAAAGTGGCCCTGTGATACGGGATGTGGGTGTCCTAGAGGAAGAGTTTATTTTGTGTGCTTTGTGCAATTTTGAACTCTCTCGGTAAAAGCAAATCGCAGTCTTATTTCTCGTGGGAAATATGCTATGCAGAAATCCTCCAGTGATGCCCTCTGTAAAATATCCTGCAGTAGCAGGGATCAAATATTTGTACAGAAATGCACACTTGCAGGGTGATAGTGAAGTGTGACAGCCAGTAATTATCTTCAGGGCCAATTTCCAAGAAAGTCCTGAATTATGTTCCCATGAACAGGTTCTCTTGTGGCCTGTGTAGTTATCACAGTGGATGAGTCCTCTGTTCAGACACCACAGGCTGTTTACAGTTTGAAATCAAAACACATTTGTTTTAATGTTCTTATTTAGAGTTAGTCTGAAACTCTCACTGGACTTTAAACTCAGTATTGCCTGTGAATTATGATAAGTATTATACCTCTGTGTACCTAACTTCTAGGTAACAGTTTCTGTCAAAACACATTCCCAGTTTCCCTGCAGGACATCAGGAATCCACATCCCCTCCCAAGAGATTCTGGTGTCCAGGGGTGGTAACACTGAGACCCTTAGCTTAGGAGAGAAGCAGAGGCATACGAGGAAGCAGGTGGCCCTCGATTCCACGACTGGCTGTGATCATGTGTGAAGGGTGGACATTCCTCTCTTCTCATTATCTGTTCTTAGTGTGCAAGTAACAGGCTTTGGATGTGGTAGGCAGGTAGGCTCGGGGGAGGTCTGGATATAGAGGTCATCTGTTTAGGATGTGTGTGTTTATTAATCTGGTTTGGCTCTGCATCTCCTGTAGGACAGGCCATGTCTTCTGACATCTGCAGACATAGAGAATGACATGTGAGGACAGCAGTCTATCCTGTGACGTCCCTTCATGCCCCAAGCTGTCAGGACCCAGTGGGAGAGTCAAGTTGTGTGTCACGTGTTGCTCTAAATCTGGTGGAGGCGAAGGTGCCTGGGACTGTCACCTACTTTATTGTGGATCAGCTTTTACTGGGATGAGTGTTGGTGCCATTGTCCATCATAGTAATACATTTCAAATATTAACTTCTGCGGGAGGCTGCAGAGGACCGCTACTTTTCCCAAATTTCTCTGTATGCCCTACCCCACAAGTGGTCCCTCGTCATGCTATTCCCATCCTATCAGTCTCTGCACCGGTAGCCTCAGTTAGTGCCTCCACCTCTAGCATTTGGTATGATGATCTGCACACAATGAAGTGACCTGGAAAGTGTCCTCATCTTATCTCTTTTTTGATATACAAAGGAAAACGTCCCAGATGGTACTGCAGGGTGTTACAACTTAAGGGTGAGGTTGTCTGAGGACCTTGGAAATTTGCTCCAGTTTCTGAGGACACACAATTGGCAGTACCATCTCTGCTGTGCACTGGGCAGCAGGTGTGTGTTTACATGAGGAAAGAGGTGGCTTATGGAGGTCAGAATATCAGGGTTTTTGCTGCCCTAAAGCTCTTCACCCCTAATCTGCAGGAAAGACAAGGGATTCCTGTGGGGGTGTCAAAGTTATGGGTCCGTGAGGACGCGTGCCCTAGAGGTCCAGGAAATGGACCTTGGTCCTGTGAGGAGACTTTGCTTGATGAGGCCCATAAGACTGACTGTGCAGCTGGGTCTGGGGCAGTGGGCAGCTCCCTCTGCATCGTGATGAGAGGCTCCAGGGGGAACTGAGGCTGACTGTGTGCTGCCCAGCTGGGCGCCTCTCACCACATCCCAGCCTCCTCTAGCCTTGCTCTCAGCTCCACATCAGGCACCATGGGGCTCTCCCTATGGCTCTGCTGCCTCAGGCCCTGATGCCCATGCTCTGTGGGGCCTCCTCTGAGCCCCCCTCAGTCACCTGTGACACAGAAATCCTTTTGGTTTCTGAGGACACTGTCAGGAAGAAAAAACAAGCCCATGGCAAAAGTACCTGGCAAATGTCTGCACATACTGGGCACTCCCCTTCCCACGTCACATGAAAACTCTCCTCTCATAAGATCATCAATAGATGTTCACTGAAGTACAGTAAATAAATCTAAGGGTACTGGCATCCCATATGGGTGCCAGGTTCTAGTCCCGGTTGCTCCTCTTCCACTCCAGCTCTCTGCTGTGGCCTGGGAAAGCAGTAGAGGATGGCCTAAGTGTTTGTACCCTGCACCCGTATGGGAAACCAGGAGGAAGCACCCGGCTCCTGGCTTTGGATCGGCGTAGCTCCAGCTGCAGCGGTCATTTTGGGAGTGAACCAAAGGAAGGAAGACTTTTCTCTCCGTCTCTCTCTCACACTGTCTGTAACTTTACCTGTCAAATTAATTAATTAATTAATTTTTTTAAATAAAAAATCTAAGGGTGTAATAGCTCAGGCCAAGACATGATTTGCAACCCTGTTTGCAAAGATGAGGCAGAGTCTCCTCTCTGTTATTCAAATTCAGACATGACAAGGTGAGGCAGTGATGAGGATGGGCTCACAGGAAGCTCAGATCTGCCTGAGATGTGCAGACTGTGATGTTTCATGAGCTGGAGACACAGAAACAGCCACACATGGAGGTACTCGCTTGTAGCCCAGATAGATGAGGGGACACAGTGTGGATAAGAAAATCAAGTCTTATGGAAATAGTCTTAAATCTTCTTGCCTTCCAGGACAAGCATTTTGAAATCCAAAGAGGAGCCCGAGCCACCCTAAGCATGCTGTGGCGATGATACACATTGAAGAACTGACCAGTGTGCACTCCTGAATGTTTTCCCTGCTCCATGCTGCCTCTTCCCTCTCTTATTTTTCCTAAAATTTCCCCTAATAAACCTCATGAGATCCTCTGTCTCAGTGTCTGTATCCTAGATGACCAACTGATACCTCTAGGTCATTCACGATGTGATCCACATCCACACAGTTCAAACATGGGCGGACACTTTGGTGTCGCAGGCAGAAGCAAGATCACCCTTTCTGGTAGTACTGACCATCACAGGTAGGAAGGAGTCTTCTGGGGGTGGGAACATCCAACATCTAGAGTCAGGTGGTCGCTGGGCTAATTCATGCTAGAAACACTCACTGAGCACTGTGCTAGAGCCTGTGAGCAGACACACAGGCGCCTGTCCTCCTGTGAAGCTGACTCAGACGGAAGGCAGCGGTTCTGCAGCAGTGGCGGAGCTCCGCGAGGAGGACCCCAGTGGTCGAGTCTGTGTCACAGCCCTTCTCTCACTGTGCTAGCTGCCCCTGTAGCACTACATCCAGGAGGGTTCTGAGGAAAGCTGAACCTGGAACAGAGATATCTTGACAAGTCCTGTGAGCCCCCAAACCCTCCTTCATTTTCTTTGGTGAGGGACGGACAGCACCCTAACCAGAGTTACTGGACAAGAAGAATAAATAAGCGACATCCAGATAGCAAAGACCAAGTGAAGGGTAAGTTTTAAAATACAGGAACAAGGGAACAGGCATTTTAGCCTGAAGATAAGATGTCCCACATTGGAGGGTCTGGGTTCAATTCCTAACTCTGGCTCCTGACTCCAGATTCCTGCTAATGCAAACCCTGGAAGGCAGTGACAATGGCTCAAGTATTTGGGTTCCTGCTCTCATGTGGGAGACCTGATTGCATTTCCATTTCCTGTTACTGGCCTAAGCCTAGAGCCAGCCATGGCAGGCATTCTGGGGAGTGAACCAGTAAATGAGACTTCTCTCTGTCTCAGAAATCAATGAAAAAGTTAAAATAAAATAAGGAAAATGTTGGTAAGCAAGGGTCAATGAGGGAGATGGAAGAGAAAAGAGGTGAAAATCTAGAACCTCCTCCTGACTCTTCTGCTCATCCAGGAGAGTTGGAAGATGAGGTGTGGAAGCAGGACAAGGGTATGGGGAGCGGTGCTAGTTAAAGTTCTTGTTGATAGCTTCTGCAAGGAGGAGGAGGTGAGATTGTCTTAGGGCTGTTGAGGGAGGTGCAGCTGGGAGCACGGGAGACAGAAGAATAATCACAGTGGGGAATAAAGCAGCATGCTGACAAGGGAATGCATTCATACCACCAAACATCACTGACCTCTCACACCATGCTTGGTGCTTTGTTAAACATTCCCATGTGTTAGTTCATTTCATTCCCAAATAACCCCACAGAGTACACATTATCACTGCTCAACCTAATGGGGGAGGAAAACAAAACTCAGAGAGGTTTAGTTTGGATAAGTAGCCTGGGTAAGCTGGGATTTGAACCCAGGTCTTCTGAATCCAAGAGCCTTCGTGTTAAACCAGTATCCCAAATTGTCTTCCATGGCTGAGGCTGCCAAGAAGTGTTGAAAGCTTTTCTAAGGCAGGGGGCGATAATTTTGAACTACTGATCAGCAAAGCATGTGTTTTTTGTTTCATTTTAGAAATACCAGCAGTTCTGGAATAGATAAGATGAACAGCTTATTGGCTCATGGATGGGATGTTGCTGATCAAGTGAGGACAATGGTGAAAGGAAGTTGAGGATACTAGCAAGATAAGGGTTGAGCTGGAACTAGAGAAAAAAATAGAAGGGTGTTATGAATTGATGATACAGATAGAGTGATAGGAAACAAAAAGGTATTAGGGTAGTGAACTCAATGATCATAGAAAAGCAGGTGCAGTGGAAATAATGGACAAAGAACTGAAAGGATCTTGAGGTTCATAAATGAATAGTAGTGCTCACAGCTTCAGAGGAGGTGGAGGAATTGGTGATAAAGGCAGAGGTGGCTAAGAGTAGGAGTGGCAAGTTTGGAGTTAGAACCCAAGACTCCTGATTTATGATACAAAGAATATTATGACCTTAAAATTTCCTGTACACAAGCTTTATCTTCCATAATGATTGTAATTAATTGACCTTCACAGACTCTATTTTTTATACTTTATATCCTCCATAGTGTTTCATACCAAGTTAGCCCACAATTAGGATTTATCAAATGACTGAATACAGTAAAATATAAACATAGCTCCCAGCAAAGGACAGCCAAGACTACGAACTTCTTCGGGCAGAGATGTCTATATTTTGTTTATCTTTCTATCATGAGCACATAACAGATAGCAGTTGGCAGGTTCTAGGTAACTGCAGGTGAAAGGATAGATGGAAAAATGGGTGGTACCTGCCTCAATGTCATCAAGAACACTTAAACACTACCCTCACAATTCAGGTTACACAGTCACTTTACTAGGCTACAAGAGTTTATAACTCAGCTAAGTGGCCTTAAATAAATCTTTCACTCAAGGACAGTATGAGCCGTTGGGGACTTAGGACTTGTTATTGGGTTGCCATGTTTTCATTCGGATGGAGTTTGTGCAATGAGAGCTAAAGACCTTCAATGGGCAACTTCTGTGGATTGAACTAGAAAGAAACCATGAAAACGCTATCCAGCATCCACAGAGTGAACTTGTTTTTGGCTGAAGATAACAAAAGGTGCATTCTAGGGACTGGCTCCTTGTGATGGCAGCAGTGTGCTCTGCACCAGGAGGCATGTTGTGATGGGTGCTAAGATCCCCTGGCCTTCTCTACTGTTGGGGTCTCTGCATATCTTCGAATGGAGTCTGGGTACCAGACTAAGGAGATGTTTTCATGTTTCTAAGTTGATAGTCAATACTGCCTTGTTTTTACATTGAATACTAAACTCTTCTGGGAAATGAGAGCAGACAGATTACATTTAGAATTTGATCCCTTTTGTCAGGGTCTACAGGTTGAAAATATCTGAGTGCCACAGCTTTAGTGACACAAGTAATTATAGTAAGTACCACATTTCAAATATAGATCACAGCCTGTACTTATTTATATTATCAGACTGAGTTTGCATAACTGAGAGGGTAGTTACTACTATTAGCCTCATTTCACAGGTAAAGAAACTAAGGTAAGAAATGAGAAAGGGGTCAGCACTGTGGCGCAGCAGGTTAATACCCTGGCCTGAAGTGCAGGCATCTCATATGGGCGCTGGTTTGAAACCCAGATGCTATACTTCTTTCTTTTCTTTCTTTCTTTCTTTCTTTCTTTCTTTCTTTCTTTCTTTCTTTCTTTCTTTCTTTCTTTCTTTCTTTCTTTTTTTTTTTTTTTTTTTGACAGGCAGAGTGGACAGTGAGAGAGAGAGACAGAGAGAAAGGTCTTCCTTTTTGCCGTTGGTTTACCCCCCAATGGCCGCCGCGGCCAGCGCACTGCGGCCGGCGCACCGCGCTGATCCGATGGCAGGAGCCAGGTGCTTCTCCTGGTCTCCCATGGGGTGCAGGGCCCAAGGACTTGGGCCATCCTCCACTGCACTCCCTGGCCATAGCAGAGAGCTGGCCTGGAAGAGGGGCAACTGGGACAGAATCCGGCGCCCCGACTGGAACTAGAACCTGGTGTGCCGGCGCCGCAAAGTGGAGGATTAGCCTAGTGAGCCGCGGCGCTGGCTGCTATACTTCTGATCCAGCTCTCTGCTGTGGCCTGGGAAAGCAGTAGAAGATGGCCCAAGTCCTTGGGCCCCTGCACCCACATGGGAGACCAGGAAGAAGAAGCTCCTGGGTTCGGATTGGCACATCTCTGGCCGTTGCAGCCAATTGGGAAGTGAACCATCACATGGAAGACACCTCTCTCTCTCTCTCTCTCTCTCTCTGCCTCTCCTCTCTCTGTGTAACACTGACTTTCAAATAAATAAATAAATCTTTAAAAAAAAAAAAAAGAAATGAGAATGTTGCATCTCAGGGAGCTGAAGAGAACACATGAAGCTGTTTTACCAGACCCAACCATTCATCCATTCATGTGATCTATCACAAAAAGCCTCAGTCACCTCTAAGCCACAGCACCAATCATAAACTGTGAACTATGAAGAAGCAAGCAGAAGCTCTGGGGGAATTTGAGAACCATGTTGGGTAGTTAGGAAATGCAAGCAAAGGAGCTTCCAGGTTCCCAAAAGGGAAGAAGGATAATGTCTGTGGGTGCCTCAGTATGCTAACGGCCCAGAAGCAGAAAGGAAGGAGACCAGGAGATTGAGAAGGATGTCCTTGGCTCTCCCTTTCTAGAGTGGCAAGAGGGACAGAAAGGGAACGCAAACCCACGTGGCATTTAGAATGATGGATTCTTTTTGAAATCTACTTGCTGAGCCCCACAAGATACAAGGTGATTTCACCTCTAATTTCTCATTTCACTTCTACAGATTTTCTTGAAATGGGAACTACTTGTATCCTCACTTCGTTAACGAGGTGAGCTGAGCTCAGTGAATTGGAGTAGTTACATGATTTGCCTTTGTAGGTTGCCAGGCCGGAATTCCAACTTCAGCATCTGACTCTAAGTCTCAGGATCTTTCTTCTTTGTAATGATTACTAGAAAGAAGAGTTTAGGAGATCTCAGTGCTTTCAAGCCCGACATCATCAGAAGGAAGGTAACCAGTGGAAGAAAAGCAAATGTAAAGGGAAACTGGATGAAGCAGAGGCCACAGGATACAATGATAACAATGGATACTTACCTGTAGTGCTGCTTCTTTTTAACCCCTGTAACAAATAGCTAACAGAAACTGTGCAAAGGGGTTTGAGGAAACAGAAAAAGCAGTTTGCCTCTAAGAATATGATAGTTTTGTCAACAGACCATAAGAATTGCTCATTACAATGATGCTATGTAATTATCTTAATGGAAGTCAAGAATAATTTATTAAATAAATATTTACTATTTATGTGCTGGATACAATTTGAAGTCCTGAGTACTAAGTAAATGAGACAAGAGCACTACTTTTATAGTGTAGTGAGGAGACAGTAAATAAGTAATTAATCAGCAAATAAGCAAATTAATCAGCAAACAGCTCAAATTTCAGTGAATATTAGAAAGGAAATGATATAAAGAGCACTACTTTAGAATGGGGTAATGAAG